TGACCCGGCAAACGTTGTTCTGGCATATAAATATTTTTTTTTGAATTGAGACAGTCTAATCATAGCGGCATAAAATATACTTTACGACCTATTCTCATACCTACCAAATGTAAATAAAAATCTCATAAAAATTCATCGAACGATTTCGAAGTAATTTGAACACAAATACTGTGACACGAGATTTTTATATATAAGAATATTGGCATAAAAATCTGTGTTCTAGAATATGACGATAATAACTCAATTGGCGTGAACCTCTTTCTATAAAAGGAAACTCCTAACTTACCATTTATTACTACTTATTAATTATTACCATAGAGTTCAAGTTCCAAGTAATTAAATTTAATTCTAAATATACATAACGCACAAATTAGTCGCCCTGACAAAAGGAAACTTAAATAAACTTAAATTATATATATATAATATTTCTATCTATTAAAGTATAAGACTAGAGTACTTATATTGCATACTATCATCCATCATAAGAGAAAGGGAGGTGAGGCCTTTGCCCTGCAAACATTGGCTACATAAACATAATAGGCTCAAAGAATACATATTTTTCGAACATATTTGTATCAATTATGGTTATCAGACTGGAGTGTAAAATATAAAAAAAAGAAAAATTGTGAATATGCAAATTACACTGTACTTAGAAACGACATTTATAAGAAAAAAATAAGCACTACTTTATAGATTTTACATTCAATATCGTATGAATTGTTTTACTTTGTGATAGTATTTTAAAATTTCAATTACTCGTTAGTCATTTATTAAAAAAACAATGTATATTATGTCTGAAATTAGGTATGATTTTCTAAAAAAATGCAATAATTAGAAATGTTTCAGTAATAATAATTAATATATATTACAATTAACAATGTCCATGACGTTTACCGTGTTTAACAATGTTCAAACAAGGTATATATATAGTTAGCACTAACATGTTTCTCTCTAGTAGCCTCTCGATATTTTCTATCTTAGTCTGTTTCAGTTTTAAGAAGAGTATTTACAAAATCAACAAAGACAACTAGTATATAGAGACTTATTATAGAGGTATCTCTTTGTGAAATATGTAGGTACAATAGTTCTTATAGCCTTTTTTGCAGGATGAATGCTTTATTGACGTTATAATTGAAGCTATTGCCTCACAGTCAAATACTATTACCGTAATTTTGATTATACTAGGGCATGATATACCAATTTTAGTTGTTCAATGCTAATTTTGTCCCTCAGACTTCTGATAACATAGTAGGCCGAACTTATTGTTTTTTCTACACTATTCTATTTAAGTATGAACCAAATTAATTCTGAGTTACTGGATACGGGTCTACATTCAAAATCTCGAGATTTTACAAGATTTTCTGGCCCTCTGGTAATCCCAGTATCAATAAGTACCTGTGATGTGTGTATTTTAAATCATTAAAAATAAATTAGTACCTAGATAGAAGATAAACTACGTTGACTATAAACATCCGGTGTCATATTTACTATATTTTAATTAGGTATGTACATAATGGACATCGCAGATAAACGCTACAGCGTGATCTCTACTACTTGAAGATATATAATATTTTATGTTATAATGACGTTATACTTAAAAATTATTATCATGATCATATCAGCCGTTAACTGTCCATTGCTGAACATAGGCCTCACTCATAAGGGGAGGTTTACCAGTAGTCTTCACGCTTGGTAGGCAGGTTATCAAACGCAGTTAGGTTTTGATGTTTGAAGAGAGACGCTGCTGCCCACTTTTCGACCATTAAGATCCCTAACTCGCCTCTTACAACATCCACGAGATAGGAATGTCCCATTCTATGCCTGGATCACACGGCTCAATACTCAAAAATACCTACCTATAATATTTTTATTTGGTTTATAATTAAAGCATTCATAGACATACGACTGGTTTTTAATTATTTTAATAGCAATAAATTGCACATCCGTCTAGCCATCCATTTTACTTTGTCTTTTGCATATTTAGATAGTGTCTAACAAATATTTTTTTTAAAATGTATATAATATTTAATGATATGTTGATATCATTAATCTTATAATTATGTAGTGGCTTTTACTACTAAAATTATCAGTTTATTTGAATATTTGCCAACAGTTGGATAGGACATTTTTTACTTGACCTGGATACATATGACCTAGTGCAGTTTATTACAAAAATATTATAAATTCATGATGTTATACAATATAAAGATCAATTTGTCACATATATGCGGAGTTATCTCTGTGAATAGAGATGTCAGTCAACCTTGATATTATTTGACAGAAGATAATAATTAAATTGCGGATATTTTAGGTAAACAAAGACAAAGGTTTATCTTTGGGCAGATTCTGAATATCTATGTACATTATACCTAATATAATTAAGTATAGCATTGATATCAACTATGGTCGAAAATTTTGTGTTAGGACCTTATATCGATTTTCGATAATGGCCAACCCCCAATTAGTAAGACAATTATAATCAACCAGTAATTATTTACTGAAAACGTTATTAATAGATAAATACTCTTTATTGTTTCCTCCAAAAGATTACAATAGTAAACTTATTATTATACAAACAATTACAAGAAATGATTACATTGAGAAAACAATCGGCGGCCTTATCGCTAAAAGTGGTGTCTTGCAGGCAACCTTTGGATGAAGAGTAATTATAAATACTTTGATCAGAGACACGATGAAAATTTTGTTATTTTTATATACATATGTATATATATAGTTAATAGTAAAATAAACATAAGTAGGTATTGAGATACTGATGTAATATTTTTTTTTGTTACATCACATCTATCATTACTATTTTTGATAGTCTGATAGTAAAAGGTTAAACTTTAACGAACCCAATTAATTAATTGGTTCCTTACCTTGTACTTTCAAAACCTATTTTTTAATTATTTCCTAGCAGAAATATTTATGCTTAGATAATGTTACATTAAGTAACAAATAATCTACAAAGAAAGAAGTCGACATTGTGACCCCTTCGTGCGGAAGTTGGCTGCCTACAAGTAAATAATAAACAAAATGACAACTTTTCCTGTGATACAAGGAGAGCTCCTTGACTCTTGTCACTGTTTATATTTTCTTATCGCCCATACCTTTGCTTAAGGGACCTTAAGATATATTTACAAGGTGAAATTGAAATCATTGGCTTTTGAGGGAGTGCCCTATCAGCGAAACTGGATATTGTCATAAAGAAACATGGGTTAAAAAACGCCAGAAAATATGAAAAATTGTAAACTGTTGATTTAATGTGGAAAGCTCAAAATTTATTTTCGTTTTTCAGTGCGAATGTGAAAGGGTGCGTGTTGTTACAACGGACTGTGCTTTTAGGAATTATTCAATGTGATGCCTACGACCACTTTCTACCATCGACAAGCTCGCTATCGACAGGAAGTTCATCCCTAAACATAAGGACCTAGATAGTTGCGTACAGCGCGGTTTCAGAGATGTTTTCTCCCACGAACGCTCAGGTTATGAAATGAGTATGGTATTATAGGTTATAAATAGAGTCGAGGTTTTTCCAAGAAACTACAGCATGGGGTTCTTCAAAAAAAGGCAAAGAGGTTTCTTCAGGGTCGGCAACGCGTACATAATGCCCCTGGTATTGCAGGTGTTTATAGGCTACGATAACCGCATACCATCAGGTTGGCTGTATGCTTGTTTGCCACGTCTGTGGTATAAAAAAATGTGTATGAAGAGATCAAGATGTTAGGTTAGAGATTCATCATGATTGGACAAATTATGTACTGTCCGAGATAGGTACATATTTATGCTCGTAAAAATTTGGAGGCTCTTACGGAATAGAAGGTTTATGGTTTATAAGAAACGGTATCGTTAAGGATTTTTTACGACTATGGATGAAGCAATAGTTGTGTCTAAGTATAGAGGATTACGCTATTTCGTTCTCTTAGCTTAATCGTTAAAGAACTTTTTGCATATAAATAAAATTACACATACGGTTACATTATATGTACAGCTAAACTTAAAAAAATTGGGGATAATATTATAATAAGATAAAAAAAATAACAAAATTAAACAAAGCAAATAAACAAAAAAAAAAAAAATTTATGCAAAATCAAGTGGCATAATTTGATATTTTTGTTAAATGTTATCTTAATTATATAACGTGATCTCTTTGTTACAAATTCACTATGAACAAAAAAGATCAAAGTAGATAAATTTTACATATTTATCTAAAATTGAAGTTTGTAATAGATGGATAACAGTTTGTGTCTTTAATTTGTCAAAGAAAGTGATAATAAAAGACCTATAAGTGTATAGTAATACATTAGGTACTTGCACGATTATCAATGGTAGTCGTGATTGTAAATATACAAATTGTAAATTATCCAAACTCTCAAGGAAAACGTAAAATCATAGAATGTTATTTGATATTCAAATTTAACTTCGTTTTCGAAAAATCTGATATTTGTACTCATTTCGTCGGCTATTATTTGAATATAACAATAGGCAAATCTATCACCGCCTCTAATACTGATTACATTTAATTTTGTTAACGATGTTTACCAGTGGTGGAATGTGATACGGTAGACTGAATCAATAAATCCAGGTAATGACGGAATCAGATAAAAAGTAATCAAATAATGGTCTTGCCATTATTTGATTACTTATTCTAATTACTCTTATAATATTTAATGAAATTTCTTTGTACACCATAAAACTATAACAGATATTTACTGCAGAATATATTTAATATAGTAGAAGCAAGTTTAAATACATTTTATAATAAACAATTTTACACTGTAAATAATAATAGTTATACCTATAATGCTAAAAACACGTTTTGGTTTTATTCGAGTTATAATAATTCTTTTTTTATTAATTCTAATGATATAAATGAAATAATAAGAATAGATAAAATGATTTTACTTAAAGAAACTTAGCTGTATTATTAAGATATACAAATTTAGATACCAATATATTTATAAATAGTTTACATTAATTATAATAATTATTGCACTTACTTTTGTGTGTTTTCCCTTATGTTCAATATTTAATAAAATATATCCACAAATGAAACGTCGTTACACAAAACGGCGAGCCGAGTCCGTCTTTCAATCGTGTGCCGCAGCGAACTCTGCCGCGCTCCAACACGAATTGCCCCTCCGGATACGCACTTTACTGTATATAGAGGAACAGACACTCCTCCGTGACGAAACACGGGTTACGTCTATTGGAAATCATAACAAAAACTTCTATTATAAACATCGGTAGGTATTCTTTAATTGAGAATTATCAATGACACGGTATTCCTTTAATGAATAATAATGGAATGATAATTTTATTTGTGTTAACGTTATACGCAGGTAAGGCACCAGTGATGATAGGTGAGGATAAAAGCAGGCCAGAGAGACGGCGTGGAGGTCGACCTATACACGCTAAACTCGTATTGATAGCAGGGTTGCACTAATTTACAAAATTGAACTTTTTTATACCCCGAAATAAATGTATAAAAATATGTTATTCTACTTTCCTTAAACCTAAAAGTGTTAGCAGAAATATTATATCACGTCACAATTTCGTCCTGCAGTCAAATGTTTTTTTGAACTACCTAACGTGTTGACGAGGAGGGAAAGGGGTTGTTAGTAATGGGGTCTAATAGCCCCATTGCTAGCAATATACACTCGCAGGTCGATCTCCACGCGGTTCTCCCGGAAAACCATCATGTTTAATTTTTGCTGAATTCATCATGGTGGGCTAACTGAACTGCTTAATCCTCACCTATCATCCTTCACTATTACCATTCCATTACCACCCATTAAAAAAAAAACGTGTTGACGACAGTTTATTGTTTATTCGTCCGCTTCAAATGATAATTATTTTGTTTCGAATTGTTTTAAAATGTTAAATAACAAGTGTAAACAAAATTCTATTATTATTATATTTAAAAAAAAAAAAAAGATCCATTGTAGATTGGTTAAAAAGTGCATATCTTCATTATTTTGGATTTCCTGTTGCAAATCAGGATGAAAAGTGAGTGCTTCATGTGTTTTGCGAAAACTGTAGAATCATATTACTCCAGTGGTCATCAGGAGAAAACGTTTACCATTCATTTGGTTGACCAATGCTATGGAGAGTACCTATTAATAATGATAATAGTGCAAACATACTAGATGACAATGAAAGTGATGTTGAATTCAAATCGATTTCTAGTGATTCTGACGAGTTCTCACTTCAAGAAAATATTCCACATTTAATTAAACAAACTGAATTAAATGATCTAATTTACTTTTTTATAATTTATTACGATTCACAATTATTTATATCTAAAGGAGAGCTTCTTGGTTTCCACTTACAACGTTAATGAAATATCTGCTTGGAAGGCATTCAAAATGGTTGTGGAAATTTTTTTTGGAAATTAAAAAAGTGAAAACTATAAAGAAATTGGTACCGATTTATTGAGAATTTTTCAAAAGATGGGAATAAACATGTCGTTAAAGATTCATTTTCTAAACTCGCATTTGAACTTTTTCTTTGGAAACTTAGAAAGTACGAGTGACGAACAAGGAGAACGTTTTGAACTCAATTTAAAGATTTTTGAAGAACGACATCAAGGACTTTGAGATGAAAACATGTTAGGGGTAAAAACATTCTTTTGGTCCATTATAAAAGAAACTGATTTAAATAACTATTAAAAGAAGGGAAAAATTTGTCTTTTTTTTTTTAAATATCAATAACAAAATTATGTATTTCAGTTAGGTTAATCAATATTTCTAAAATCAGATGTAATAGATTTTTCTTATTATTTTTTCTGGATAATTCTATCTAAAGGAATAATAACATAACAACTTTCAGCTGGGGTATGAAAACCTTGTAAACCAGTGTTATTGACAATTCTTTCCTCTTCGACTTTTTAGTTGTCACAAATTACTCACGAGGAAACAAGTTTCTTATGTCAAAAGTTTCCAAGCTGCCTTTGTTATACATGTATGACGGAACAATAGTTTTACGTGTCCTCCGTAATGATACAAATTTTTGTATGATACAAATTTACATAATTTGTAAAAAATTCAGAGTTTCAGAGTTTTATACTGAAATATGATCTTCGAATTTTTGGACCCCAAGCAAATGTTGTCCAATGAGCTGTCACCACTTAGATTACTTATTACGATCAACTTATTTATTGTAGTACATTTATACGAGGAAGGATTTTAATAAAATTGTTGAAAGGGATACTAAATTACATTTTTAATGTTATAGAAAATTAAATTTAAGTATAATAATTTTAACATCCTCTTGGGTGCCTGGCATTAAAATTTGTTTAATTGAGTAAAAGGTGGTAACCTGGTCTTCTTTTCTTTACATGGCCACTAGACAAGCTTAAGCCGACCCTGCCTGCACCTACTCCAAACCATTCTTTTAATAGATATAAATGTCATAACATAAATGTCACGTACACGAATTCGCAGGTAGCTACTTACTAGTTGAGCAATACGTTTCTAAAAGAATCTTACATTTGTTGCGTATGAAAAAACTTCCTAGGTATCTATTGTGGAATAATTTTATGCACTACATATTTATTTTACAATTATAAACAGTGACGTAGGTACTAGTAACTAGTATCTGTTACGTCCCTAGTAAGGTATGGTTCGTGTAAATTACTGATGTTTAAAAAACACGTTGGCAGTAAAAGGATAAAATATTTAATTTTCCTCAAGTTAATGTGATGTAATTCAGTACTAATCTATTAAGATTTTAGTAACTTTATGTTAAAGTTTAGCAAGGAAAATTGTTAGACTAATTAATTAAAGTAAGTAGGTATTTGTTTATACATCTAGGTAATTGATAAGTTGGAGGCAGTGCGGTGGTCTGGACAGGTCCCTGGGGAGACCAACGGGTCTCCCTATAATACGAGGTTTGTCCGGAAAGTACGTATAAAAGTTTTTTAAAAATTTTATTTTACAATTATTCAGGTAAATCAATTTTATCCCCTTCAAAGTACTCCCCCTGTGACATAATGCACTTGTGCCAACGCCGTTTCCACTGTGAGAAGGCTCCTTGAAAGTCCTCTGGTTGTAGGTTTCTCAGCTGCCCCGTCGTAGCTTTTTTTATCTCATTTATGTCCCCCAAATGCCGCCCCCGAAGTACCAATTTGGTTTTTGGGAACAAGAAGAAGTCACACGGGGCCAAATCCGGCGAATAGGGGGGGTGTTCGGTCACCGTAATGGAATTTTTACTCAAAAACTCACGGACAACAAGAGAGGTGTGGGCAGGGGCATTGTCGTGGTGAAGAATCCAACGCCCCTCTCGCGCCAATTCTGGACGAACTCGTGCCACACGAGCTTTGAGGCGTCTGAGCACATCGACGTAGAATTTTCCATCAACTGTCTGGCCTGGAGGGACGAATTCTTGATGGACAATCCCCCGAACATCGAAAAAAACAATCAACATTGTCTTGACATTTGAGCGGGATTTTCTTGATTTTTTTGTTCGTGGTTCCCCGGATGTCTTCCACTCTTTGCTTTCACGGCCATTCTTGCCGAGTTTCGAGAGAAACTTGATTACGACGCGCTGCTCTTCAACGGAAGCGGGCTCCATGCCGACGGGGTTTCGTTAAGAGGTAACTTCACAGATGGCGTGACAAGCCAGTTCGCACCGCACGGCGGTCAGACCAGAACTGAAGCATTGTTAGGGACATAAGGAAGGGGTCCTGCGCTTACCTGGCCTCCCCACTCCTCTTTCTCGCATTCCAGAACACTTTTATACGAACTTTCCGGACAGACCTCGTATGGTTGAACACAATGATGGTTGGCTCATCTGTTATACTCGGGAACTATTAAAAAATACTGCGTAGTAATAAATACTTTATATGAAATTTGTGATAATCATTAACAAAAAATTATAGCTGAGTTTCTTGCTTGTTTTTCTCAGCTGAAATTGCATCCCAAACTAGGCGGTTAATTTATATATTATAACTAAGTTTTAATATTGTTATCATATATATATATATATATAGTATTTTATAGATAAAAGGACCATTGGAAGGAAGTAGAGTAAGATTAGAAGTTGGAAAAGGGAGCACATAAGAAAAATATATGATTCAAGTCCGCCACTTCAGGACCGCATCTGTGGTTATTTAATAACTATTTACTGGGTGAATTTTATAATCTTCATTTGTTTACACGAGCAGGCCTGCGATCCTTAGAACATTGTTATTGAAATTACGTTTTTGTATGAATCTATGTTACCATGCCCAGTCGCGGCGTAGCATAGAAGTGGAGTTTTTTCTATGCTATACTATATTACCAACTTTGATGAACTTGTAAAATTAACAAAAAATTATTAGTGTTGTTCCTACCATGGTTTCTATTACTTATCGATATGAAATGAAATTGAATTATAATTAATGATTAAATAGTACTTAAAATTATGTATAAAAATTAATTATATATGTAATATATAAAGTGGTTTCCTGTTAAAATGTCATCTTTTAAAATAACAAGAATTATTGTCGTAATATGGTTATATGTAATTGTAATAATAACAACAACAATTGTAATGGCAACAAATATAACTATTTCTTGTATATTCATATAATATAGTACTAATTTACTCTTTAAAAATGATTATGTATTTTTTTCAGATGTTTGACTCAACATAATACGTCCAATCATTGTTTATTGAATCGAAGAGAATTTAATTTTTTTTTTACCACTGATGTGGCAAACAAGCATACGGCCCACCTGATGGTAAGCGGTTACGGTAGCCTATGAACGCCTGCAATACCAGAGGTATTACGTGCGCGTTGCCGACCCTAAAGAAACCTCTTTACCCCCTTTTGGAGAACCCTATGCTGTAGTCTCTTGGAAAAACTTCGGCTTATTCCATAATATGAGTGTTCATGGGAGAAAACATCCCTGAAATTACATTGTATGCGACCATTTAGGCTGTAGGGTATGAGGGTGAACTCCCTGTCGATGGCGAGCCGTACGGTGATAGAAAGTGGCCGTAGGCATCATATTGAATAATTCCTCTGAGCACAATCCGTTGTACAAGCGGTAGAATACGCAGAGTGAGGCAAAATCTCTCCTAAGACTTAAGGGTTTGATACCGCTTGCAAGCCTGGGATCATCGACAATTCTCATAGCTCGTTGTTGCACTTAGTCGAAGGGTTCAAGCTGGTATCTAGGTGCTCCCGCCCATAAGTGACAGCAATACTCCATATGGGGCCGGATTTGCGATTTATAGAGCATTAATCGCTGATCCGGCGTGAAGTAATGCTTTGCTCTATTAAGCACATCGAGTTTTTTGGATGCCAGCTTCACCTTATCTTCGAGGTGGCCACGGAACTGTACGTCACTAAAGATGTTGACACCAAGGATCCCAATGCTTTTAGAGATGTTAGGAGACGTGCCCTGGAACTGTGGGGCCACAACAAATGGAATTTTTTAGCGGTGAACGCGCAAGCCTAGATTAAATTCACCTGTTAAAAAAAGAGATTTTTAAATTATAGTAAAGCAAAATAAAGTAACTAAACATAGGTCTTTGTTTTATTGTCTATGTTTTACCTACAATTTATTAACTTTATTTTATGAAGTAGCTAAGCTTTTAATAGCAACTTTCGATATCCATATATTGAATGGAGCCATACATAGACACAGTACTATAGATATTCGTTTTTTTTTCTTTTTTCATAATTTTCCGTGTTGTTATTTCGAAAAGGTATTTTATTTCCAAGTTCCGCGGATATGAGGGCGCTGCCAACTCTTATAACGTGGTGATGAATTACTCTGTGTTCTTTCGATATCCTTGTTAATCTGTGTTCTGTGTATATTATAACCAAACGTTGCGGATTAGAATATAACCACGTGTAAAAAGAATTTTTAATTTATTGAAATCTACGTCCAAATGGCTGTAATACAGAGGATAAAGTAATTAATTTTGAAATTATAGTATGGTAGTACTAGTTATTAATTGTCAAATTTAAAAATAAACCTTTACTTTTCAGAAAACCTACGACTCGGAAAGGTAAAAAAGTTTTACTTGCAAAGGAACCCAAACCAATTGAAGGTCCGAAGCAATGTTTATTTCTTCAAGGACGTAATCCTTCAGAACGCACAAGGAAACTCTTAAAAGATATTTATGATTTGAAGAAGCCTGATGCTGCGTATCTTAGTCGTAAAAATGATTTTGTTCCGTTTGAAGATGCTTCGCTCATAGAAAAGTAAGTTGTCCACTGTTAACAATATGAAACTATTATATTAGTATCATTTATTTATTTATTTATTTATTTTGTGATACATAGGTAACAATGGATGGTAAAACAATATAAGTCCTCTATAATCAACCCCATCTATCGAGGTATACAAATTTACAATTACATAAGAAAACATTTATATTATATAAAAAGAAAAATCAGCAATGTCACATTTATATAAAAAGAAAAATCAGCAATGTCACATTTATATAAAAAGAAAAATCAGCAATGTCACATTTATATAAAAAGAAAAATCCGCAATGTCACATTTATATAAAAAGAAAAATCAGCAATGTCACATTTATATAAAAAGAAAAATCAGCAATGTCACATTTATATAAAAAGAAAAATCAGCAATGTCACATTTATAGTAAAAAAATATAATTATGGAACTTTATTTTTTTTTTAAGTTAATAACTATAAATAAATATTCGTTTTGTCAGATTTTATCATTAAAGAATTCACATACATTGTAATAACATTTATCAATTAAGAATTTTTTTAATTTATACTTAAATACATTAGTTGGTGCATCCTTTATAGATTTTGGTATTTTATTATAGATTTTTGGTGCCATACATAATATACTATCGTGCATAAGTTTTGTACTAGATTTTTTTAGATATAACTTATCATTATCACGTCGATTGCGTTTAACAATTTCTGAAAGTCGTGGAAATAAATTCTTATTAGTTTTAACAAATACACATACTTCAAATATGTACAATGAAGGTACTGTCAATATATTATATTGTTTGAAATACGGCATACAACTATCAGTATTTTTAAGATTAAACATGGCTCTTATGCACCTTTTTTGAGCTTTAAATACAAATTCTTTCTTCGTTGAATTTCCCCAAAATATTATGCCATACCGTAAATTTGAAGCAGTAATACCATGATACGCTGTAATGAGCGCTGATTCATTTACTGTAGGAGACAATTTATTTAAAGCATAAGCCGAAGAACTCAATTTCTTGGATAATTCAGCCACCGCACTTCAGCTTACCATCTTATTCTTAGGAAAATGCAAAACAAAAAAATATTAACTTGTCTATACCTGGTGGCTTAAAGTTGAATAAGTATACTGCTAAACTGATTTCAATGAAATAAATATGTATTGTACAAAAATTCCATTAAAATTGATTGAAAGATAGATAGTATAGTTTTTATTCTTATAAAACCAAATTGACTCTATAAGTGGTAAAACTATCAGCTAGTAGTAATTATGTTAATAGTGAATCTCTCTTGTCGCAGGTTTATTATTAACATTTTTTTTAACCCATTCTTCTAAGCATCAGTCCCATAGGTAAATTAAGCTGGATTAATCAAGATTTATTTACCAATATTTACTATTAATACATTTTATAATTGCTGTTTATTTTTTATAGAATGTGTGACAAGAAGGATGCAGCTTTATTTGGTGTAGGATCACATAGTAAGAAGCGGCCACATAACATAATATTGGGCAGGACTTTTAATTACAATATATTGGATTTAATAGAACTTGGAGCAGAAAACTATAAACCTATGTCAGAATTTCACAATATGAAAGTGCTAGCTGGTTTGAAGCCATGTTTGTTATTTAATGGACCAGCTTGGGATTTAAACCAGGATTTGAAGAGGTTAAAGTCACTGTTCATAGATTTCTTCCATAGAGAAAAGGTTTGTATTCTAATTAAGTATTTAAACTTAATACATAGCAAAAAGATAATAATTGTAATTTCAACTCTTGTGGTAAAGTATTTTTATACCTTTTGTGTGTACATTCCCTTGAGACATGATTTTTTTTTTATAATACAGTGAACACACTATATAAGCAAAATTTTTTATATTTTGTTTATTTTATTCAGCTTAGTTAGTAAAAGAAATAAGTAAAAACATTTTTCAGACGGAAGGTATTTTTATACTCCTCATTCCTCTATAAGCAATATTTCCCAATAAGAAACTTTTTTATTGAAATTGGATCAAATGAATTGCTTATATAGAGTGTTCGCTTTAGAATGGTAAACAAAATGATAGTCTGATGAAAAGTGGTTATTGTTACCTATAGACATTAACAGCACCATTGAAACCATAGAGTACTGTGATTCTCATGGTAGTACTCATACATTGCCAGTCCTAAGGACTATGGTAATATATTATAGCATCCTTAATTAGAATTGCTATAAATACTGTCTACAGAAGTTGCAAATATAATATAAAAATTATAAATATAAATATTACTAATAAAAATATGCATAATATAGAAAATACTTTTAGATTGAAACAATTAGACTGCAAGGATTGGAGCATGCCCTCAGTTTCACGGCTACAGATGAAGGAGTGATCTATTTAAGGTCTTATAGAATATTATTGAAAAAGAGTGGTCAGCGAACTCCTAGAGTTGAACTTGAAGAAATTGGTATGTATACTTTTAAAATTTTCATTGCAGTTTCCCTGAAAAAGAAAATGCCCATTGATAGTATCATTAATTCTTATGACACAATGCTTTCATATTAATAATTTTTATCTCAAATTAATAAGATTTTTCATGTAATAATAGTACACATTCACATCTCCGGATTTAAACCAATGTGTTTGCTATGTTTTGTCACTAAATTATACTTACCTGCTTACAATTTTTATAATAGCTTCTCTTAAATATAGTTCATTGTATTATTATTTACTGTGTGGTCCCCTTAATATAGTTCATTGTATTATTATTTACCCTGCATAGAATGAGCCAGTCCTTCCTTTTCCATAGGTGTCATAAGAGGCAATTAAGTGAACTTGCTGATTGAGGAATGGGCAGTAACATCCTTCTTAAAACATGCACATTTTATGATACATATTTCACCTCTAAACGAGGCATCATTAGGCAAATTATTAGGTTGCTGGTCGGAGCCTAGTGTTAACTGTTTGGCACCAAAACTTCTCAGTTCGAGTGCCAAATGTTACAAAATGTACATGAACAAAATAGAATTCGGAGATTGATGACTAATATGGAAAGTTGTGGAACTTTTTTAGTAATAATGGTAGTCAATCTTCAAGTGTTGGCAGTCACACATACACTAATAGTAGCGGAATTAAACAAAATATTTTTTATTAAATGACCATTTTAGAAAGGTGTTCCTTGTCAACAGCCAATGAACACAGTATGTGTTTTGTTCAATCTTTTTATTACTTTTTATGCATTATTTGTGATTATTAATTTGACATTATTTAGTAAAATATGATAGCTGATAGTAGAAAGTTCAAATTAGATTTAGAATTCTTAAATTAATTACTGTAGAACTCCATTAAGATATGGCCAATAAATTTTATTTTAAAATTTCTATAAAACACTTTATATTCAGTGGAATTTTATTGTACTACAGGCCGATGGCGATATTAAGTTCCATAGCCAGATGGGTTTTCTCTTTTCTCTGAAGTTTATAATTTATAGTCATTATTTATCAGATATTTTATCTACTTATTTCTATTGTTTTCTCACTTTCGGCATTATATAGTTTAGCAATAGGAAAAATGAAAATATATGTAGAAAGTTCTTCTACATATAGCTAAGATCTTTGCTAACCTGATATATTTTAAAAAATATTATTAAGGAACTAAACCATAAGTTATTATATTTAAATGTAATGACTACGATTTAACTTACATGTAATTTGATTTAGAGAGCTCGATTAGTTTTGGAACCATTCAGGACCCTTAATCTTGAATAGCTGTGACGAAATACAATTTATTAAATTATAATGTTATATTTTTACCATTCTGGGTTAAAATTAAATAAATCTTATATACCAATTTTTGGTATGTATAACTACTATTGTTAGTATTGTAGTTTTTTTATTTAAATTTGTTTACCCTTGTTAAAGTATTGTACTTACGTTAAATACAGACCCACCGCATTTCTAAAGTTAAAAGTCGTAAAATTTAATATAAACGTGAACAACTTTATTTTTAAAGCAAATATCAGTGACTTTAGAAACTTACTTATGTACTTTAATGATACCAATGTTTTTTGTGCAGGGCCTTCCATAGATTTTAAACTCAGGAGAACAAAATTAGCAGCTGATGATTTATACAAAGAAGCTTGTAAAATACCAAAAGAAGCAAAGACAGGTGTCAAAAAGAATATATCTAGGGATGCATTTGGTTCTAAATTGGGTCGTATTCATATTGGAAAACAGGACATTGGCAAACTGCAAACACGTAAGATGAAGGGATTAAAGAAAACACCAGAGGAAAGAAAACAGATGCTGTTAAAAAAGAAGGCAAAAAAATCTGTGAATCAAACACAAATAACTTCAATAAATTAATAGATTTTTAATTGCATTTGATTTAATATTTACATTGAACCTACAATTACAAATTTCTAGAGGTTGATAATTTAGACTAAAAAAATGGAAGTATAAAAATAAAATTATTGCATCATTTTATCAGGTTTAACCTGTGCAAAGAAAGGATATTTTATATCCCTTATATTTTGTCTATGGAGGATAAAATTCTCTTTTGTATCAACCTCATACTTACATGGACAAATGTATTGTACCCTGCAATATTCTGTTATGACAGAGAAAAATTTACTGTTATGATTCTAGGTAGGTAGTGCCTTCAATTTTTTTCATACATTCTTATTTATTTAGATCAATGTAGTAAGACATCCCAGGTAGCAAGGTGACGTCTGTAATTCATATAAGTCGTCAGTTTTGAATTATTTTAGGGTCGGTGACTGAAAATCGACGTCAATATGATGATGTATTGCTACCTGGGATAACGTGTCTTATTTTTAATTTCCTTACTAATATAATAAAATTTTACTAAACGATGCCTGTAATTGAGAGATATGTAAGAAAATTTGATATGAGCGATCTTAATAAGAACATTGTAAGCCAAAACTATAATTTTTAGAAATTTTGTCTCTGTCTTGTATGTCTTGAATGTTTGTCCCGGCATCACGCAAAAACTACTGCACCAAATTGGATATGGTTTTCACAGTTGGTGTTCCTGAACATCTAACTTAAAGTTTGTTATATTTTACTTGATACGCCATCTAGAAGTGGTCTATTTGTTTGATTTCCCTACTTTTGAAATCGTGTACACAATAGCGGACAAAAAGCTAATTTATAATAATAATTATAAGCTCTTTCACTCAAATTAACAGACAGAATTATATTCTTGGTCTAACTAATTACTATCTCAGTTTATGAATCAAAGCTCGTTAGTGATATTTGTCGGTCTTTTACTTCATCATAATAAAATAACTGAACCAATTATAACAAAAAATGTTATAATTGAGTAGAAGGTAGATTGGTATTAGCCGAATTTAAACTTCAGTCACAAATAATATTAGCTTCAATTCATGTCAAAACTCCAAAGATTCTTCACTGGTGCCCCGCAAGTGTATAAAAAAGTAGGGTGTTTACGTGTAAGATTATAATCACTTCATATACAGAAAATCTTAAACCTTTATTTATTTAGGTAGGTACAATACGTACCACTTGTTTTTGAAGAATAAAGAGATTGCAAGATCTCCACTGTCCAAAATACCTATTATACAGTCTAATTATTTGTGTAGTTCTATAAAATTACTAATGGAAATATGTATGACGTCAACAAAAAATTTCCTTGAACAAAACTGTAATAATAATAAACTGTATGTATATGAGCACTGGCTTTTTGTATATCGATTGATTAATAGATACCAATAAGTTATGCTAGAATTGTGTATCTAATTATATTACTACATAATGTTTACTAAAAATTCAGTAAAATTTTTGGTAGCAATATGATTATTGAAAGTTTAAAATGTTATTAGATAATTTTTAGAGAGAGTGAGGTCGATTTTGAGACGACATTTCTCTAAATGTGTCTGTAAAATTAAAATTGCAATTTAATATCGCAGAGAAATTTTTATTCTAAGGACAAATATTAATTAAATTTTTATTACATTTATATCAACATTATTATAAATTTAGTTTATGATGGTCCATAAAACAGTAATTTTACGAAACTATCAAATAAAAATTTAAACTGAGAGCTTACTAAGAGATACGTTTAGAGAAATAGCGGTTAATAATCGAGTCCAATATCGACTAAATATTTAAATGTTCACCATAGTACTTATTTACAACCTAATGATTTTTACAGAATGTTACAGCTTAATGACTTATAAGCCAGTTTTCTAGAAAAATAGTTCTAAACGAAATATTAACGAATTCTAGTAGACAATCTATATCTTTTTCCTATGGGAAGAAACGGGTACCTACCTAGTAGTGGAACGGAAATGAGTTGTTAAAGTAAGACAGAAAGTTTATATATATATAAATTTTTTAATTTTATTATCTTTACCTGTCTACTTATATTTATAAAATCCTAATGAACATTTAGTACGAAATAAAAATATGCTTATATTTTAAGATATAAATCAGCGTAAATATATATTTTCCTTCCTTAATAAAATTAGCAAACATGATCCATTCATTTTATGTCACCGCTAGGGAAATCCCATACCCACAGCGACTGATAGGAAGGTAGTTAAGAAGAATGTCATTTGCATAAACTCAATCATACTCTGCTACTCGGTATAGCAATATACAAAAAAAAAAAAAAAAAACATTAAATTGGTATAATTTAATCATTTTGACTGTGCATAATATCCTATACTTTTTTGTTACCATTGTTCAACTATGTTTTCCTTTTATAGGGAGAGATCTATTACTCAACTATTTATTTTGCGAGTTCTATTAGATTATAGCTATAGTCCGTCCGTTGCTACGGGTAATATTAACTTAGATAAGTACCTAGATAGCTATATAGAATAGATAGAATATGTTAATAGATATTAATATATACTAGAACCAAAAAATATGCAACTAGATACCTATCTGTTACAAGTAAGTTCCTACAAGTAAATGATTTTAGAGATATTAATCCGAAACAAAATGCCATTGCGAATTAAAAATCTGAATTGATTCGTTCATTATCAAAAAATCAGTTCAATGATATTTATCCCGTGGTTATATTTCACAATTCACTTATTGCACGCGACATCGACCTTGAATTAAAAATATTAATCACGAAGATACGGCTTTGTTTAAGATTTAAATTATTTATTGTGCAGTGTTGCAATTGATAAAGAATAACAGGTTTATATCTATAATCATACATTGTAAGTACTTTTTGGTAACACCATAACTTACGTTCCCCCAAAATAATCACCACCAGCTTTCTATTATCACTTTTCATGGCATTTAATTAGAGCACATTACATTTTTACATACAATGTATACCACGCACCCAAAAAATGCTGAAATTAAACAAAACAAGTAAGTACTTGAACATACCAATGAACTCGATACAGTTGCGGCTGCAATTGACAGTAATTGTACCCCTAAGTATGTTTCAACTCAAGAGCTTGGCGGAATAGCGATTTAATATTCTGCCTCTCTTTCCGATGGTTATACCTAACAATCAACCACTATTGGTATATTAAGATAAAAAGTATATATTAAATTTTAAGTTAGACCTTTACAACTATGAAAACCGCATCCGATTTCGAGCAATAGTTTTTATGTGTGTAAAAAAATATACAGAAATAATTCTAAAAATTATTGTTTTGGCTTATTAAGAGTCATATAAGTTTTTCTTAAATATTTTCTATGTACAAATATCGTCCAGTTACAATTTTATCATATTAGTGAGATACGTCTGTTTATAACTAATCTGGCATAAATACTGTTACATAAAAACTTTTCTTTTTTTTTTCAACTTTTTAATTATTTTGAATTTGGAACACGTTTATTATTTTCAAAACTTCTTTTATTTCCGCGCCATTTCACATATTTTTCCGTGTTTATTATCAAATTACAATATGGAATGGGGTGTTAAAGAAAACAGGATTGCAGTGATCGCCTTGCACAAAATGGGTATGGAGCTGTCGGTCAATACACAGGTGAAAGGCACAGAAATATCCTCTTTACCGATGAAAAACTTTTCACGATTGAAGAACACTACAATAAGTAAAATGATAAAGTGTACATTTACAGTTTTAAAGAAGCTGCTCAAGTGGTTGGAAAGGTACAACGTGGTCATCCTGCATCAATGATGGTTTGGTGGGGCATATCTTATCAAAGGGTCACAAAATACATTTTTGTGAAAAAGGAGTGTAAACTTCAGACAAAGTGTATCAAGATACAGTCTTGGATCGTGTTATGAAACCTCTCAGCAATATACTTTTTAAAAATATACCATGGACTTTCCAGTTGGACTCTGCACCTGATCACAAGGCACGAACTACCCAAATCTAGCTTCAAATTAACGTTCCGGACTTTATAAGAGCGGAAGACACCAGAGGAAGACTTTGTACAAAAATCGATTGCTTGGGTACCTCTGTCCCATTCGTGTTTCAACCATGAAACAGTTGTGTTTGCATGGCCGTGTTTCGGTTTGAAGGGTGGGATATGGCGTGAATTTACTGGGTACAGAGGAATAACACCTGAGTCCTCAGGAATAGCAACGCATATGGGGGTATCATGGGCGAAACAGTATGTGTGTGTACTGTTATGTCTATGGTACTCCTCATGTCTATAGGCGACGGTTACCACTTTACATCAGGTGGGCCGTCAGCTTGTTTGCCATTTTAAGTTGTATAAAAAAAAGACGCCCTCATCTAGCCCAAACCTCAACCTTTTAGACTTCAAATTATAGTCAGTTTTAGATTTTTTTTAGAGTTTTATGGGCATGGTCTGTTCTAAACGACACGACGACATTGACTCTCTTAAGAAATTTTGGAGCAAGTAGTGCCGAAATTTTCTTTGGAAACAGTACTTAAATCCATAGATTCGTGGCCAGACAAATTGAAGGCCTGTATAAAAGTCAATGGTGGCCATTCCGAATAAAATATTTTCTTATTTTTTGCTGAAACTTTAATAAATATGTCGGTATTAATTTTAGTGATATTACATTACTTCATAAAAAAATGCATTTTAATTTTTAACATAACTTATGACTGGACTAGCTATTGATATGGATGTTTCCTTTGTGTCTATAATTATATATTTACTAAAAAGTATTTACAATATATCAGATGTCTAATCATACTTACAAGTTCTGCTTGTTTGGAACTAGGGAGCGTTGTGTATTACACAGATTGTAATAAAAATAAACTATTACTTATTATTGTGTATATGTGAGTAGGTATGATATAAAATGCAATTTGTAAGTTTGCGGTCAAAGAAGAATAGCATAATTGTGGTAAATGGGCATTGTGGTTGTGGTACACATAAAGACATTTATTAAAAAAAATTCAGTGATAACTGTTCTACCTACTATTATTATTAACTATAAGAAATTATTTCATTCGTTACAGTTTTATTATTCTCGTTTTTTGTTTAAAAAATATTTTACGTAAAAGAAGTACGTATTTAGCTTTTTTTTTAATGTGATGAAAATGATAATCCTGCCTCTGCTATCGGTATTACCTCGGGGTATACTACCACAATAGGAGAGAATAAAGTCAATTCAGTTAGTCCTTTGTAACGAATTCGCAAGGAATTTTCTGCAGGATGGTTTAGAATAGAATCAGGGTGGTTTTAAGAGGCGACCGCGTAGAAGTCGATTTGAATCGAAACTGTATTCGATTCAAATCGATATAGACAAAGAAATAAAAGAAAAAATAATAACACTATTCGATTTCTTCTTTATGACCGGAAGACATTGGTCGAGATAAAAATTAGTCTATGTACTTCAATATTCCAAATATATGTAGACCGAATTTCATGACGATTACACGAGTCGCTAAATCACCAAGATGTAACAGAGTCATTTTGCCATATTAAGAAAGGGTACATAGTAAATACATAATATAAAAATGTCAGCATGTGCAAAATAAATACCTAATTAATTTAAACAGAAACAAAACAGAAAAAATATATCTCATTGAAGCAATGCGCTACGCCGGCGAAGGTAAACGAGTACAGATTTGAAAATGTCGATTAATCATTTAAAATATCAGATTATATTTGCATTAGGTTAAACATTATTGTAGGTATAAGTATTATTACATATAAGATGATATTATTTAAAGATATATGAAACCGTTTCTTATGTTGAGTTGAAAATTACTGATGTGAAAACAGAAAAGAGCAGATGGATGTACTTTTCATATAAAATAAATAAAATATACTCACGATTATAATCCCTGATGGGGTTATTCCGGGTATTTGTCGACTGATGTTGTTATGGTGAACATAACGTTCGACGTGTTCTTATTTCCCATATTATTTCTAAAAAATGTAAAGAAATACCATTTTCTAATAGATATTATCCAAAAATCCATTCCGACTGGAGTCTCGATAGGAGTTAGAGTTTATTGTTTTAAAATTCTTTAGATTAAGTTCAACTATATTTAACAAACAATGTGACAATTGTCTGATCCTCAAGCTGAGTATCGTATCTTATCAGTCGTTATTTGTTCACTACTGAACATAGGCCTCCCCCATCAAGCTGAGTATTTACGAGAAATCAAACAAACAAACAATAAATATCAGGAAGCACATCCCTGAATACATACTAGATTACCAAACGACTAAATATCTTTACATACTTTATAGGATTAATGATATAAAAAAAATATAAGAAAATGAATTGGCATAAAAATGATTTTTATATACATTTACTTTTGATATAAATTTTTTTTTTAGAACAGCCAAGAATACAAGGGAATAACATAATGTAACGAATATCACTTATAATATTCATAACTTAATATTTAAGTATAAAAATTATTTATAAGATGAGGCCAGTGGACGATATTAAACTTGTTCTTTTAGATTAATGAGTTTCTTGCTGCGCAAGTATCATATTATGTAGATACAATACCTACGTGGAATTCCTTTATGTACTCCTATACATATTAGATATATTTTATGGTGGATAGCTATGGCGTAGTATTTCATATTATTTATTATTGATTACTTAAGGTTTATATCAATTTGTCATGAGGATAATTGTTAATGATACTACTTACGTAATATTGTATTTACGGAAAGTCAAGGAATAAAAATAATATATTTATATCTTTATTAGTATTAATTAATTTATATTTATCTTTATATCAGGTGGCAAGTTATTTTTTTTTCTACAAAAATTAAAACTTAATAGAATTAGTATGGCCCTACTGTGAAATTAGACTATTTCGATTAAACGAAATCCTTATAATTGGTGAAGATGTGAACGAAAAAAGAAATAAAACTCACAGGAAGCGAGAATTTTTATGTTTTTTAAAAATACTGGTATCGTATCTTCTAATATCACAAATGGCGAAACTGGTCTGGAAGGAAGTACCTATCTATACAAGTTTTCACGTAATAAAGTTAAATTTAAATCTACTCCAAGTACCAAATATCTCCAACATTAACATAATGTAAATAAGCAATATGCATATATACGTTAGCTTGGAAAAAGTAGTAAAAAGATTTTATACATACTACAAAAGTAACATAACATCTTTTTTTTTTATGTGGGGAAATAGAACACCGTAGTCCTCCGTCCAGTCCGTAGTTCCAGGGATGGAAATGTACGTTACGAGCGTGCTACCCTTATACCATCGGCAGAACATATTATATGATATCTATGGTGTTATGGTGAAAAGTATTGATAATAAAGAATATAAACATGTTCTTTGTTCTTCAATACTTTTTACTTTTCAGCATGTAGGGGTTTACTTCAAAGAAACGAACCGAATTCAATAATGACAAAATTAGTATGACATCCACAAGGATGTTGGTACCTAAGTCGTTGTGATAATTCTTATATATTTTTTTGATAAAATGAATATACTCGTAGTACTAGCACACAAATAGTAAATATTGACGAATTGCAAACCTCCTGTTTTTGAAGTCGCTTAAAATTAACAATTTAGTTGCGTAATCGTTTTCGCAAATGTGAAAACGATTCATGGCTTAACATAGATATAAATTTGATTATGTATTGACTGTAATTCAGCTGTACGTTTTCCAAAAAATAAATAAACAAATAAATAAGTAATATACTTACACAACAATATAGTTGAATTGAGGACCTCTTCTGGTCTAAAGACCAAATAATAATAAGTGAATTTATTTACAAACAAATGCACTTAATATTGTCTATCAAAAACACTATAAACTTTAATTGTATTGTAACCATAATTTTTATTAATTTATAATTTTATAACATTACTATCTATATCGAGTGCTATTACTTAATGATGTACCATATTACTTTCAACACTAAGTGCAAAAAAAATGGAACAAATTGTGTACTTAAACAGATACCTGCTTCGTCAGAATATATAGGGCGCTTACCATCGGGCGGAACATACCTATACCTGAGTGTCAATAATCATTCTTAATAAATAGGTAGATACTCATATTTCTTTAGTGATAACACTGAAAAACAATGGTCATCTAAAATTTATTATGGTTCAATAAATACTTCTATATAACTATTGCAGAAGAAGAGAATGAAGAAAAAAATGTAAAAGAGATTGATTTGGTATTTCAAGAATTATAAAAGTTATAAACCTACTCATTATAAAAACAAGAAAGTGTATTAACTTTAAAAATCTCAAAAGCCAAGACATAATAATCAACAAGCATATAAATAAAAAATAAAAATGTAGAAATGGCGCTGATAAAATTTGGAACCGGGTAATAACCAGGCTAAGCTAAGTTCAAATACAAAAATACACGTTCGTCTTATATGTCTACCTACTCGGCGGACCGGTCAGCAGGTCCCGGTGGTAAGTTACTGCTGGTTGTTGTTTATTGTGGGTGTGAAATGTGCTTTAGGTACTAGGTGTTGTGACCGTACCCTTGACCAGACGCGGGCGCGCTCAGTTACCGCGCGGCTCTCTGCTAGTATCATCGTGTTAAGAAACTCTAAAGACAACGTACTCGTGTAAGCTGTCGTCACGTAATATAAACACGAACTTCCCTTATTCTTAGCAACTCCAGACTCATCTGTTGCCTAGACTCAAAGTCAAAATGCGCGTTGCGAGACGACTTTACTCATATGGTGTTGCGTATTTTGTAATATTGCGGAGTGCGTATTTACGTTACAAAATAAATTTTGAATAATGATATAATTGACTATTTTAATAATGAAAGACGTTAATATGAAATCAAAGAATAATGAAATGGACCAACAAGCAGAGCTGGAGGAACTGTTGCAGAAGCCTAACAACGTGCAGTTGTTGCCTGATAGAAGAAAACACGCAACAAGTATGTTTCTAAATTAGTTTTTACTTAAAATGTATGAATTTGTCAGGTGTCATTTAAACACGATTTGTTCTGGTGAATGGACAAGCGAGAAAATTGTAAACAGTAAAACCGTCATCAATATGTGACGTGATGCGGCATTCAATCGACAGTCTTAGTTACATAGAAGTATTTTTTGTATATAGGTACTTATACTTCGATTTTGAAAATCTTTGATAATAAAAAAAATAGGTATAGGTAGATACACCACCGAAATTATCATAATCATCAAAAAACCAGTAATCGGAAATCGAAAAATTAATATATGAAGTGAAATAAAATGTTTTGGGAGTATTTTAATCAATTTATAAAAAAATAAAAATTCTTGTGTAAAGATTTAATAAATTCATCATGTAAATCATGTAAATGAATACTTGTTGAATTGAGTGATAATTATAACTTTGTATTGAATCTTTTTCAGTTATAGTTTTCAAAAAAATGCTTATTCTATTTTAAAAATTCAGTATCGTTCGTTAGTTAAGTTATTATCGAAAGCACTTGTCCTATTTATATAAAGCAACTTCTTGCAAAAATAATAATTTATTTTTGTATAAAAAATTCATGATACATTTTTTTAGATTAGTGTTAATGTAACTATAAAAATTTTAATAAAAATTTTAGTGCTTATTTATAGGTAGGCGAGTAGGTACATAATGAAATAACAATACTAGTCAAAAGGTTTTGTTAAAAACACGCGATGACATTGGTCATAATTTTTAAAGCAACCTTCTTATACATGACAATTTCTTACAGTTATTGGATTTGTATTCTCAATAATATTCATTAGAATAGGAAAATCAATCTATTTTTAACCTTATTTAGGTAGTACACTTAGTTGTTATGAAAGAGATTTAAAGCAAGCCAGTCGCAAAATACCTATATAATTGGACTCTGTAAAACGGACACTTTATGCATGGTTAGACGCGATATCCACTTTATAGGTAGGAAGGAACCAGTTCCGATAAAATATTATTAACATTGTAAAGCACTGGTTTAGTATAATTTTGAAGTAGGTATTCAGAACATTCTAAAAACTATTTCTTTTTATCTTTATTTATTTTTAGATGTAAGTAACACAGGAAAAATAAAATGAAAGAAAATATATTGCTGCAAACTAGAAACTTAACATTATTATTTATTATAATTACTTTATAAAAAAGCTCATCTCGGAAAGTTGAGTTGAAGGGGTATTTTTAGGGGATTTAAAAGGGGGGAACTACAAAACGAATTTAAAAATATTTAAACAAGATTTTAGCTGAAGTAATTCTGCATATTTTGGTATTTCTTTCAACATTCTAGATGAATTACCAAGATATGATAGTTCCAAGATAGGATATTTTTGCAGTTTTTAAAATGCGTGCGTAGCCCCATATGAATTTTCTTCAGTCAACATTATTTTAAAAGTACTATTTTATAAGTAGGTAATTAAAAAATATCAAATTCAATTAGTAAAAACATTTAACTTAATAATAAAGTCATTTTAAAATTATATAATAAACACTGAAGTTATAATTAAAAAAAGTTTTGAGTTTACGTATATTTTTAATTTATTAAATGAAAACTTAACACAACGGTATTTTTTTAACCCGCCAAATGGTTTGTATCTAACAAATCAATAACACGTTCTATAATAATTAATTCAGGTTATGTTCTTTAATTAAAAAAAAATAATATTTATTAATTAATTTACAGATTTCAAAAACTTTATTTATAGAATGCTTGTATTTCCTAATATATTCAATATTAGGGCACACAAAGTTAAATAAATCTTATCAAAAAGATAAAATAGCCGTCTGTATAAATTTGTGCTTTATAATTAATTTTATATTCTTCTTTTCATTTAAGAATTTCCTCTTGTCGGTACAACTAATTCATGCATCTTCTTCCAGCCAGCTCTATCCCAGGCCATATCCTTGCCCTCCCCGTATGACATGACACCTAGTGTTTCTATTTGTTTATTCTATATTATAAAAGTGAAAATTTCACCGAATGTCTGCCACTGTGATAAATATACGTGAGTTAAATATATTCACTACGAGTGTGGCTTGAAATGGAACGTCTTAATAAGTTTTTTCGCGCCATTATATTCTGATCTCAGTTTCTAAAGCTGCAGTTAATTAAGAATCTAAACTTATTGAGCTTATATTCATTTCGAATATATTTTATAATCATTTCGAATTTCTTTATCTAATGCATAAATTGTTAATGCTTATTATACTTAGGTTTACAAGAACATTTTTAGGTTTTAATAGATATTACATGGGCTGCCTTTTAAGTTGTGTCGTTTGAAATAAGTACATATAATCTAATAGATTATTACCAATTATTGTTTTTAAAATAATTCTCCGCGATATTTAATACACTTTTGCATGCGTACAAACCAGTTTTTAAAACATTTATTCCACTCCGAAGTAGGGGTAGTCAAAATGGTCGATTTGTATGCGTCAACAGCTTCTTCAGTTAAGCCGAAACGTTGACCACGAAGATTTTGGTTAATTTTGGGGAACTTAAAATAATCGTTAGGGCTTAAGTCAAGGCTGTAAAGTGGATGATCTAAAATTCGACATTTTGGGTGCTCAAAAACATCTTTGTTTGGCGGGTGGTGTGCGAACTTGCATTATCATGGTGCAGTATAATACGACATCTTGAATTGTTTTTTCGAAATTCGGTGATAACTTGTGGTAAACAAACAGTGGTATACTAGTCAGTGATAACCATCTTGCAATTTTCTAATACAATAGTGGCGACGTGACTACCCTTTGCAACAAACGAGGCAACCATTTTTTTCGAAGTGCTCCGTGAGCGTATGACTTTGGTCGGTTTTGGCTCATCCTGAAGACCCAGACAGTTGACTGCTGTTAAGAATCTGGATCGTTTACATATATCCAAAACTCATCACTACTAACCATATCATAAATATGCTTTGACTCTCCTCGGTTAAATCGCTGCAGAGTTTTGCGATACCAACTAACACGGGCTGTTTTTTGGTCATTGCTGAGCAAATGTGGTATCCAACGTGAGATCAACTTTTTTACGCCAAGTTCTTCGTGCAGGATTTTTTGGACAGTGGTCCCTAAAATGCCCATGGATGCCTCTATTTCACGGTATGTCACATGACGATCTTCGAGGATTAGCTGCCGCACGGCTTCGATGTTCTCTTGCGTCATGGCGGGCTTTGGACGACCTTCACGTGACTTGTCACTGAGGCTAGAGTACCCACGTTGAAATTCTAAATATCAGCGTTCTACAGTCCTAAGATATGGTGCTGCATCACTAAATACAGTAGTGAGCTCCTCAAAGCACTGAAGTCGCGAAAATCCCCTTTGAAAGTTGTAGAGACGCAAATTTTCCTTAGATATTTCCATTTTTAGAACCGACTTGTCACCTTTCAATAGATGATACAATAAAACTATTTGACCAATCTGAAAACATTCTTTTGTTTTCGAATTCTAAATTCAAAAAGATGAAAATGCCGTATGTTTTAATGTGTTAATAATCGCGGGAGGTTGGCAAACGATACGACTTAAAAGGCAGCTTTACATATATAGCAACGTGATGAATAGTGCAGTAATAATTTGCACAAAGCGCCTGCCAAACGTGGCAACTACTGGCAAAATCCCTCATAGAATAGGCTTATGTTCAATAGTGAACAGTTAACGGCTGATATAATGATGATGATGATGATGATTTTGCATATTTCAACCGAGAAATAAAATCGATATTATACTTTAAAAGCTTATTTAAAAGATATTCTCAAATCAATTTTTCTTATATTGAATTTTTGAGAAGGGTTTTAAACGCCCCCCATACTCAGCATACAAGCCATATAACCATATAAACATATAAAACCAATAAATAAGAACCTTTATTTATTGGTCTGTACTATACGATTGACACTAGTAGCAAATTTGAATCATTTCAATGAATGAAGTTACAAGCGTTTCAAATGCTAGGTCAAAATATAACAGGAAAGCACCAAAAGCATATCTGTTTTCATTTTCATAACTTGTTTTTTTTTATACAACTTAGAATGGCAAACAAGCTGACAGCCCACCTGATGGAAAGTGGTATCAGTTATTTAGCTAGAATATTTAAAAATATATCACAATGCGTAGAATTACTTCAGCTACAACTTCTCCTTTCAATGTTCTTCTTCTTCAATTTGTTGCACAGTTTTAAAATAATATGTCAAAAACGGATTTTTTTATTTTCAAACTCTTTATTTAATTTTACCTTAAAATAATATTAGTTTAATCGAAGAAAAGTTGCTATATTGCTAGCTATTAAAAAAAATGATACTAGGGTAAATTATAGTCAAGCAGACATGATGCAAATAAAGGTTTAATTTTGGAATTTTTTTACTGACGCTTAAACTACGATTCGAATATATAATAAGTATCATCAAACCACAGTGTCTTTACGTTATATTATATAATAACATACGAGAGACTTAACTGGCTATCACTAATTTTATATATTCTCATAGAAACTAAGAGCCTGTACAAAATTAGTACAGTACTTGATGATAAGAGGTGGGTAAAATTTATATTTTGAATTTTGTAAATTGATAGGTTGGTTAATTGCCATAAAACCGCATGGGATGGTTATTTAATAGCTATGTATTTTATTCATATTAATTTACTGGTATACGTAGTATACAAATATGCACTAAAATAACACAAAATTCAATTAGGTAACACAGGTTTAGTTTCATGGTTATTTTCTTATTGTGATAAGTACTTTTTATATTTCATAAATTATAATTTTGATAAGTCGCACTTTCTACTCCTTTTAGTGCCGATAAATCAGGACCGTGGTAAAAGTCATCATAATGATGATGTGTAGTTTAACTTACAAAAATGTTTTACACAAATATCATCTTAGAAATACTAAGATAATGAATATATTACATCGATAGTTCTTTTTTTTTAAATATATGTCCGATTATGTTAAAAAGTAGTCAC